GACTAACTAAAAATACTTTATTCTAAAGTAACAAAATTGAAAATTATATTCTTTTTGTTTTTAGTTAGTAAGAACTATAAAAGTTAAGTACCAATAATAACTAGACATAATTTAACCGAAAATGTAAATTATTTTAAATGCTAATCTTAGAGTTATATATAAATCAATAATATTTAATAATAATTAAATAGTATTTAAAATGCTGTAAAATATGCTCTATTAATAACTTAAGTTAATTGTAATTTTTGTTTATCTACATGATGACTACATTTGTATTTATAATTCTGATAATTGAATAGAAATAAAAATTATAAATTGTGTTCTAAATTGTATGCTTATTGTTTCAGACTTTCAAAAGTTTGTTATAACTTCATTAACTAAAATTAAATATGATTAACTGCATTAAGTCACAGTAAATGCATCAAACATGATTTTGGAGAGTGGAGGTACATTAATTTTCAAACCTACCAAACATTTCAAGAAGCTTTATTCTGATGAAATTTTCCAATAAAGTCAATTAACGAACTTGAGGAGTGATGGATTTAACAAAATTGATTTAGATAAACAGTTCAGATTGAATATAGTATTGACTTTATAGACGAGTATGTCATAAAATATTTTTACACTTGCATTATTTGACTTTTTAATGAACTCAATTGTACTTGTAGATTCAAAATTAACATTGTTAGTTATTGAACAAAAGTGCTGGTGACAGTACGAAGGCGATGGCGCAGCGTTTGAATATCAAACATACTTGAATTCTCTTTACAAGGGTTTAAGAAAAAAAAATCTTTCAAACTATGCAAAGTTTATCGTTTATTGATTGGTAAGTTTATTTATTTTTATTATGTTTAAATCTGTTTATAATAATAAATGTAACCCATTTTATAGATGCAATTAGAGTTCATCCAAAGTTTCAAAATCTAATTGATAGAGAATTTGATGTACCACTAGCAATGAAGGTCTACAAGTATAGGATAACAGCATTATAATACTGTTAATGATGGATGATATTTTTAAAACCACCAGAATAAATTATGATTAATAGTGTTTGAAAGTACTCAATATTTTGTTTATTTAACAATAAAATAATACTGGTTTATTTTTGTCTATTCATAGTGATAAAATGTATAAAAATTAAAAATATAATAATACTTTACAAACTGATTTGTTTTGTTTTCACATGGTATTATTACTTTTGTTCATTATTATAATGACAGTAGTTGTACTAATATTCTATTTGAAGGCCTTATTGTTTGAACAATAATTATTTGTTGGACAATTTGTTATGTTTGACACAGTTGCTAAGTACAAGTTTTTACCACCATAATATTACATTATAGTGTATATATATATACTTAATTATCTATTTATAATTTCATTTATTTATACATATATATATTTATACATTTCTTAGTCAATCTGTAGCTAGGAGATTAATGCATTAGAATGTTAGAGAGAGTAACAAGAATAAATTCTATTATTGTTGATTCAATCATTGTACTCAAGTTGAACATGCGTATAATAGTTAGCTGCATTGCTATATCCAAATTGTATGGAATTTTTCTGGCTGATTTAGAATCACGTTATTTTTCTATTACCTATCTAATATTTTCTAGTTTCTATTTGTTTTCTTCAATTTTTAAAGTAATTCTTTTATGTTTTAATTGAAATATTATTATTGAAACTTACTTAAACATTTTAAGAACATTTTAAAGATTATAATCATGTTGAAATAACAACATTATACTAATAATTAAGGAACATTTTCCCAACTTAAATAAATATTTTGAAAATATTATTTTATTAATAATTGAGCAATATTATATCTCAAATATTTTTATAAATCCAAATAAAAGTGGCCAAATAATGATGATGAAACATTCAAGAACATTAAAATTACACATTATAAATAATTTGAAATTACGAACATTGTTTTAGCTCCCTAACATTTTTAAAATGTTCTAGAAACTAATTAAGTTTTATTCTGGAAGTATTATTAAATACATAAAATTTAAAATGAACATTAAATAACACCAGATTAAATAAGTGATGACAATCTTTTTAAGGTTGGTTTCAAGATGATCCTAATAAATATTAGGAATAGTATTAAAAACAAAATTTGACATTAGATAATGACCTATATATTCGATCATTCGAATGTACTAACACATTAGTATTATTAAATACACAAAATTTCAAATATGGAACATTAAGTAGACTTTATTCAGATTAAATATAGATGACAAATCTTTTGTAGGTTTCAAAGAATGATCAACAAAGAGTATTGAGTGGTTAATAAAAACAAATTGACTATTAGATATACAGTAATTATATTCGATCATTTGAATGTCTCTAACACATGTTGTTTGTTGCGTGCCAATATCAGATCCAGATCCAAGGTGTTATTAAAATGAATTGTACAACTTTTAATTACAATAATGTTTAATCTGTATAAATAAAATACATGTAACTGATATAAGAAGTGGCTGAGTGTCGTGAAGTTGCTCTGTTCTTCGTAGCTCTGGTACATCTACCCTTGTTGGTCTTCGGACTCCCTTATATACAAGAAAATCTCTTGTTGTTGTAATCGTCAACCTTCCAATTTAGATTAATTCTTGGAATTGTTTTCACATTTGAAACAACAATCTCCAGGATGTTATCGTCTTACTGGCAATTCTTGTAAACGCAAAACGACCTCGCCTAAGAACTACTATTTTGATTTATTACAATGTTTTTTACAAAATATGAATCTAATATTCGTATACATTATAATTATTAGATCACATATATATTTAGATCACTATTGCTAATACCTATAGCAATATTACACATATATTACATATTAGCATATCTCGTAGCTCATGAATATTATATTATATTATATTATATTATTAGTACATCTCGTAGCCCATAACACCTCCCCACAAAAAAAAAGGTTTATGTCTGCAAGACAGAAATCTTTACAATTTTATATGTATCAGTTACACTTCATTTACATCAATTGCTTAATAATAAATATGTTAGTAACATAAAATTTAAATCAATTAATTATATAATAAAATTTGTTAGTATATTCCTTTATAAAACATAAAAATCCTTCACCTCAATAATTATTACATAAATAAATCTGTGAACAATTAATGTTATTACACATGTATGTTACATTTAATAATTTTGTATTTTCCTAAATAATAACTGAATATCCCAATTTCCATTTAATAACTATATTTATATATATATTTTTTAAATTTATATACGTATATTATTAAATTATTCCCTAAAAAAAAAATGTCACTCTAACTATTCATTTATATTATTATTAATTATATTTTCTCAATATCTCTTATTAATTATAAAATATTACTTTCCTCAAAATCAATGTTTTTCACTCTTATTAACTATTATACTATTGACTATTATTAATTATTATCTCTAAAAAAAAATGTCACTCTAACTCTTATTATTTTTTTTTTTTTTTTTTTAACGCGGTGATGGTGGAGCAGCAAATGGTATATCTTCGAAAACTTCTGTACTATAATTTCCTTTCCTCATCGGTTTCTTATATCTAACTATTCTCCTAGGTTCTATTATATGATGATTGCTAACATACCTACATTTTATTAGTATATACATAGCTAATATTAATATCATACATAATATAGCTAAACCTACTGTAGCATATAATAAATTTGAATGAATAAATTGATGTTTTTGTGCTTGTTCTCTTATTATCTCATTATCTATCATTTGCTGTACCTCATCGAGTGATTTAGATACACCATGTAGATCTGTTAATTGTATATCTGTTTCGTTATCCCATTTCTCATTTATTGTATAGTTATGTATGTGCTCAGGTATCTTATCTAATAAATTCTTCATTTTAGTTACAGGTACAAAATCTTTGTATTTTCTACCTATATCTTCTTCTATTGCATTTAATACTACATCTCTTGTAAATATTCGACAACTTGTATCTATTATAGATATTTCTCCTGAGTTTCTCATTTCTTGAATAAACGGTTCTACTAAATCATCACATCCTACTGTTAAAACATCATGTCCTACATGTATCCATGTATTTTTCTTGTTAAGTCTATGATATATATTTTCACTCAGTGTAAATTTTTTAAGTATACATTTATTCGGTATTGAATCCGCTCCTTTGAATAGTTGTACTTCACATGGTTGATGACTATTAGCTTCTTGTATTGGCTGTGGTAATTTACATATTTTATACATATTTAATTCTGTACAATCACTTATTTGTTTGTCTAAATAAGTAGTAAATTTTTTCCTATCTTTCGTTATTGCAATATATTCGTACGTAAGTGAAGTAACATACCATCCAACTATCGTTTTTTCCATACGATACATAGGTATAGGTATTACATTAAACAATGTAAATTCAATATCCATAATTAATGGTATTTTCGTAATAAACACTAATCTGTCGTTTTCATAATATACACTCATTTTTGCTATTTTTGAAAATTCACCTATTTCTGATGGTTTTGTTCCTACAGGAATGTTTAAATTATTTCTAAAATATTGTTTTGCTGCTCTTAATATTTCTGCAATTTCTTGTGGTGTCATAAGACTTGGATGTATTATTCCTCCTCTTGCAGCTGTAATTATTTGTTCTAATGTTGAAGTTTCAAATGCATATTGATTAGTTAGTATTGTATATAAATTATGTACTTCATCTGCCATTAATAAATCTAAAACATCATCAGTTCTATTTTGTATTTGTAATAATCTTTTATGCAATTTTTGTTCTTTGTTTGACACGTCCTTATATAACTCTTCAGTACGATTGATTGTATTAGCTATTTTTTTTACAACTGTTTTTACTACCGTTGTTTGTGTTTTCATTATATGTAAAATATTATTTCCTGTTTCTTCTGTTTTTTGAATTGCTTCTCTGGTTTTCTTAACACATTTGTCATCACATACTCCAAATAACGTATACATAACATTACCTATAATATTTATCAATCCCCTCTTTTGTCTTTGATTATTAGTGTCTTGATCAGCAGGTTGACCTCCTAATGATAAATACATTCTTTCTTTTTGATTAGTTATTTCGTCGTATAAGTCGGTTATTACTATTTGATATTTTCCGCATAAATCTATATGATTTTTATCAGTACATATGTTTGTTATGTTTTTCATTTTTTCTCCTAATATCTCGTATTTCGCGTTATATTCTTTTAATGAAAAGTAAGTAATGAGCTTATATTCTGCTCCTATTATCCTAATTGGACCTAAATTCTCATAATGCAAACCCTTGTCTTGTTCATATGGTGTATATGTATAATAGTCTGATGAGTTTATTTCATTAGCCTTGCTTATTCCAACCATCAACACCAATCTAAAAGTAAAAAAAATTACTTTTCTAAAAGTAAAATATTATTTCCTAAGGTAATTTTTCTATTAAAGTCTCATAAGTAATTTTTTCCAGTAATTTATCGAATAAACATTTCGTTAATATTACGTCTGCACAAGGATCATGAGCATGAGTTATTTTATGGTCTATATCACAAGCCAACTCATGACTTTCAAATAAGTTTAATAATCTACCATTTTTTTTATAACTACCTAATTCAATTTCTTCTATAGTAATTTTATTGATTTGTAATTGTAAGAAAAATTGCCTATTATTACTACTATCATAAGCTCTTATATTTAAAATTGGATAATGTAAATCTAAACGGTTTAAAAAAAACATATCCATATCACCATTCCATAAAACAAATGCCGATTTTTGTTCCCCCCGATTAATGTAATTTAATATTGTTTTTCTATTTAAATTATTTATAGTAGAACAACTACTTTCGTTAATTTGCGATAAACATATATTCGCTTTGGTGGACGGCCAACCAAAAAATTTCTTAACATTTTTAATCGCCCAATCCTGTTCATATTTAGTAGTAGGACGGACTTCATTGCTAGATATTAACAAAGGCCATCCTTCTAATTTAACCGTTTCACTTTGACTTAAATTGTCCGTAATTGCCCCGCATATCAATACGTGATTGTTTTTTTGTAATATTGTAAATTCAAAGTCCAAAATATTAAAATTGTATGTTTTGGTTCTAAAAAAAAAATCAAAAACTTAAAGTTAATGTTATATATATAAAAAAAAAATATAATCTACCGTATCTATAATTATTCATTTATTTTATCGTTATGATATCGTTTTACATTATTTTTATGTACTGTAATACCTCGTCTACCGCGTTGTATAACTATATTTTCATCTCCTATTATTTCAATTACTTCATATGGTCCTAACCATAAAGAATTAAGTTTATTCCTATGTGTATTATCTTTTAAAAGTACTAAATCTTTTACATGTATATCTACAGGATTCTATTTTTTATCATATCTCTCTTTACTTTTTACTTTATTTTCAATTAACTTCTCTCTTGCTAATTTATGTGACACTTGCATACTTTGTTTTAAATCATATAAATAATCATCATAATTATACTGTGGTTCTGGCTCAGATTTTAATTTAATTGGTATTTCCAATGTACGCCCATATACTAATGCATATGGTTGATAATTAGTCGATGTATGTACTGTTGAATTATATACAAAAAATGCATAGGGTAATAAATGATCCCAATTATTTAAATTTTTATCTACATAATGTCGCAAGTACTCTGCTAAGGTTCTATGTGATCTTTCAAGACCTCCATTTGTTTGTGGTCTGAAAGGACTAGTATTAATTTTATTGATTTTTAACAATTTACAAACTTCCGTAAACGTTTTACTAAGGAAATCCGTTCCTTGATCTGTTAATATCGTTCCCGGTATTCCGTGTACACACACAAAGTGTATAACGAAAGCTTCCGCGACCGTGTTTGCCTGATGATTAGGTATTGGTACTCCTAGCGTATACTTAGACAAGTCATCTTGCATTGTTAAAATATAATTGTTACTAGACAAAGTTGTTGGTACAGGTCCTACAATATCAAAAAATATTTTCTCAAATGGTTTCGAACTTGTGGATGTAATAGCCATTGGTTGTTTAACATGTCGGTTCGAAATTTTATTTACTTGGCATGACGTACAATTTTTTATATATTTTTTAACATCATTTTTCATACCTTTCCATCTAAACTGCTTTTGTATTCGTTTTACGGTTTTATTTACTCCTAAATGTCCTCCTAACTTTGAATCATGAAATTGTTTTAAAATAATTGCTTTCTCTTCTTCCGAATATTCTATACTCGTACATACTATAATTTCAATTTTAGTATTACGAAATATGTATCTTAACATTGACCTTATATTATCCCATTCTAAATCGTCATTGAAACCTAATTTATTCATTGCTATTTTATTTAATTTATTTTCTTCACAAAGTTGTTTCAAGTTCACTAACGCTATATATATGTTCTCGTACGTTGACCTCTGACGATCTCTATTTTTCGTAACTAAAAATATTATGTATCGATTATTTTGTATTACATACGGTGTATCTCCTATTACTTTACTAACTGGTAAAAATGTTTTAATTCCAAACTTTTGTTTTATTTCATAATTTATTCCTGATGTTAAATTATATTGCTTTGCAATTTCTGATACTATATGATATTCTATGGGTGCTTCTAATAATGTACCTATAGTTTCTTTTATATTATTGTTTGTAATTAATTGTGTTTTCATTTTCTCAAGAAATTCCTCATATGACTCGTTTTTAATTTCATGTACTGAATACATACGACTTAAAGCATCTACATTAGAGTTTTGTACCCCAGGTTTATATCGTATTTCATAATCATATTCTTCAAGTTGTATTCTCCAGCGTGCTAATTTTGACAATGGATTTTTTAAATTGAAAAGCCATGTCAGAGGACGATGGTCACTAAGTATTATGAACTTTCTTCCATATAAATATGGTCTAAACTGTTTTACACCAAAAATTATGGCTAAACATTCTAACTCGGTTGTAGAATAATTGTTTTCACTTTTATTCAACGTTCGCGACGCATACGAAATTGGTAAATCTTGACCTATTTCTCCTTGAGATAATATTGCCCCTAGTGCTTTATTACTCGCGTCCGTAGTTAATATGAAAGGTTTAGTAAAATCTGGATATTTAAGTATTGGTTTAGAACATAAAGCTGCTTTTAATTTATCAAATGATTTTTGACATTCTTCACTCCATACAAATTTAATGTCTTTCTTTAAAAGATTAGTTAAAGGTTTTGCAATTGCACTATAGGAATCTATAAATTTTCTATAATAACCACTTAGTCCTAAGAATGATTTTATATCTTTTACAGTTTTTGGTTTTGGAAATTCTAATACTGATTTCACTTTTTTCTCATCGGGTTTAATTCCATTTTCTGATATTACGTGTCCTAAATACACACATTCTCGTTTCAAAAATTCACATTTATCTGGCTGTAACTTTAAATTATTGGTTTGTAATCGCTCAAACACCTCTATTAATTTTTCATTATGATCATATAAATTTTTTCCGTATACAATAATATCATCTAAATACACTAAACATTTTATTCCTATTAAACCAGCTAATGCTGAGTTCATAACTCTTTGAAAAGTTCCAGGACTAGTTTTCATTCCTTGTATCATGCGTTTAAAATGCCAATGACCTTGATTAGTCGAAAAGGCTGTTAATTCTCGTGATTCTTTTTCTAATTTAATTTGATAAAATCCACTAGAAAGATCAAGAACAGAGAATAATTGACATTGACCTAACTGGTCTAATATTTCAGTAATATTCGGCAAAGGGTGAAATTCATTTATAGTAACTTCATTTAATGCTCTAAAGTCTACTACTATTCTAAATTTTTGTTTACCTGAGTTATCAATCTTTTTCCGTACTAGTAAAAGAGGAGAGTTCCAAGGACTTCTTGAACTCTCAATAATATCATTATCCTCAAGTTTTTTAATTTGTGCATTTATCTCGTCTTGTTGCGCATGAGGAAGCCTATAAGGTCTACGATATATAGGTGGTTGATCCTGTTTTAATCTTATTACATGGGTACCTGCATTGGTGAATGTTAAAATATCCCCTTCCATATGAAATATACTATTATATCTTTCGCATATCTCATAAATAGTTTTTCTCTCATTCTCATCCATGTGATCTGTTCTTATAATTTTTCTCAATTGTTCTATACGCTCATTATGATTATTTGTTGATTCTACTGTATATATCTCATACTCACTATCATAAAGTATTTTATTTAAATCACTCATATTAACATTTTTTAATTCTTCAGATATATTTAGCATACTAACTATTGCTTTCCCTTTATTTACAGTTGAAACTGTACTACTACAATAAACATCTTTTGTGATTTGTTGTTTATGTATATATATACTTTTACTTTCTACTTCTGGGTCAGCTACTGCTATTTCTACAATAGTCTCCGTTCGAGGTTGTAATGTCAAAATTATTGAACTACTTTTTAAATTATTCAATGTTGTTTCATCGTTTTGTATAACCAGTTTATTATTTTCTACATCTACTATTACCTTGTTCTTTAATAAAAAATCATGACCTAGTATACCATCTTTTGGTATAGGAAATTGTGTTCCCACAATATAAAATTCAGTGTCTATACTGCTATTAATTATTTCTATTGGAATAACTATTCTACCTAATGTCTGTATTATTTCTTTATGTATGCCTCTTAAATTAATTTTTTGTGTTTCATCTATAATTAGTTGTCCTTGTAAACAGTTTATTTTAAGTATATTCACCTGACTACCTGTATCTATCAATAAATCTAATTTATTTGTTTTGCTTGCGGGTGAAATACACGTTATATGATTATTTTCTATATCTGTCACTATATGGAAACATTGCGCATTTCCTCCGCGATTATCTGGTTTATCGAACGAGTACCGCGTTCCTCGCTCGAAGCGTTTACGTTTCCCGAATTATTATTTTTACTTTCATTATTACGTTTCTTATAACAAACATTTATATCATGACCTTTCCGTTTACAATATGTGCATGTAATTACTCTTACATTATAATTAGCTGTTGGCTGTACAAATTTATTTCTATTTGGTTGATTAACGTTATAGTTTGTATAATTTTGTATTGGTTTATTTCTACATTGAGCTGCATAATGATTTCCATTACAATTATAACATTTTATTGGTGGTTTGTTAAAATTATTTTGCTGTGGATAATTATTTGTTCGTGTCTGATAATTTGTTTTATTTTGTTGGAAATTTTTAGAATAATTATTCATATTATTATATTTTGTATTATTTTTATATTGCCAATTGTTATTCTGTTTATAATTATTATTAGAACCTTTATTATTAGAAAAATCATTTCTATACCTATAATTCTCTCTCTCTGTATTATACTCTACCTCCTCAGCTTTAGCCAATTGTTTAGCTATCTCTAAAGTTTTAGGATTACGCGCTTTTACAATTGTTCTTATAGGACTTATTAATCCTTTTATAAAAATATTTAGTGTTTGTTCTTTTAACGTTTCGTGTATTACTCTAGCTTCAGATTCTTCTTTGTTAAGTGTACATGCAGTACATAACTTATAATATAATTTTTCTACTCTATGACAATAATCATTAACATCCTCACCATTACGCATTTTAATAGAATTTAACTGTATTTGTAAACTTGAAGCTGTTGTCATATCCTCAAAAGCATCTGTTAAATAACTCTTAATATATGTCCACTTAGTCACATTTTTATACTTTATCATTTCCAATGCTCTACCTGATAACTTAGTAGTTATATATTTAACCAGAATCGGTGCATTTTTCTCTTCAACTAAATTCACTGCCATATCACATGCATTAATAAATGGATAAATGTCATCTTCTCCTGTACACAAAGGTATTAGTTTAAATGCTTCCTCTAATCTTATAGTAACCATATTTTTTACGCGCGGTTTCCTTCCAAATGTTAACGCTATATGCTGAAAACTATCTGTAACCTTGCTACGTGTAACTTTTTTACTATCTAAGCTTAAACTTCTATTTAAGCTGGGCTTTAAATTCGGGCTAGGGCTAGGGTTTTTACTAGGGCTTCCTAAATCAATCAACTGTTGGGTTTTATTTAATAACTCCAATTCTGAAATATCTGCAGATGTTTTATTCAATGGATTAGCTACTTCCAAAGGAGATGTACCTGTGTTCTCCATAAATTTCCTTCACACTCATTTGATACGTTTAATTCAATAATAACTTTTATATTTATATACCCTTTAATAATCAATAATAATTCTCAATAATAATATATGCCCTTTAATAAATTCACAATAATTCTCAATAATTCACAATAATAATTCTCAATAATTCACAATAATAATTCTCAATAATTCACAATATAATTCTCAATAATAATTCTCAATAATTCACAATAATATATGCCCTTTAATAATCTCAATAAATTCAATAATATACTTCAAAATAATTCAAATAACTCAATATGCCCTCAAAATAATTTAATAATCACAATATCTCAACATAATATACCCTTTAACAATAATAAAATTCAATAATATGCCCTCAAAAAAAAAAAAAAATTTACGACCTACTTAATATATTCAGTTTCTTAAATGATACTTCTAGGTTTTATACTTTTGTAACATATATTGTGTAATAAATTAATTAATTGTTCACTTACAATAATGCCATGTTCTGTGATGTTGTCATCTTGTCTGATACTGCAACGTTGTTGTTGGTTTTCTCTTCTGGAGTTATCAGCAAAGAAAAGTGATCAAGTCTTCCTTGTTGATGATAGCCTTTGACGGTTGCCTCCTTGAAAAGTGTATCCTACCGACTGCGCCAAAATTGTTGCGTGCCAATATCAGATCCAGATCCAAGGTGTTATTAAAATG